AAAAACTCAATAAAAGCTCTCATTAGGCCACTGAAAGAATTTCTAAACGGAAAATTTACAGAAACTTGGCAACCAGCCCCAATCCAGTATTTTTCAAAAAAGCAAGGACGTTTTCGACTGAGAAACATATGAGAGCGCGTAATACCTAAGAACACAATGGATGCTGGAAAAAACTGTACGAAAATTCTAAACACATGATCAAGATCCCCTTTGACTACAGAAAATAAATGCTTACTCCAAGATTCAAGTTTACAGGACATTAAAAGACAGAGGTAAAAAAAGCTTCCTTCCAAAAACATTTCTGTGGTCCAACAGAAAAATCTTTAACTACTTTTAAAAAAGAAATATACAGTGTAATCATCTGTCCAGTAAGAGATTATGATACAAATTGAAAGACATGTAAAAAGGCTAGACGATGTTTTAAATAACAAAATAAATACCTCCAAGAGGCTAGAACAGTAATCTGATCAAAAGTTAAAAAAAGCTATGTGAAAAAAAGGCGCCATATCTGATTTAAGTTGAAACTTTTGCAGGAAACTGACTCGAGACGTCTGAAAACAGTAAAATTTTTTTTATCGTTCGGCGTCTGCAGATCTGTAATGACCGTAAAGAAGAAATGATTAAAACAACAAAATGTCTATATAATGCAGTCAACAAGAACAAATAAAACGGGTAGATAGTTACACTTTTTATACTCCATAAACTACCAAACAATTTTAATCAGACATTCGTCAGTGTCCACACATAATGCAAATACAGAGTTCATAAAAAACTGTTATTATTCTCAAAAGCTGAAGAAAAAAAGCTCTACAGAATGAAAAAATCATCTCTCCCTTTCCTTCGAAGCATGGAAAAGCTGAAGTCCTAACAGAAAAACTAGAGTAAAAAATGGTGTTGACAAACCCACAAACTCTGATTTATAAACATTAGCCGCTCCGATACGAAAGAGATCAACCACAAAAAATAGAGAAATAATGAACTAAAAAATCCTTCACAAACATTACAACTTTCCTTAGCTGTTTCCTATCTACAAATCTTTTCCAACATAAAACATGGTGGTTCGCCACGCCAGGTTCCCTTGCAACTTTTCAGCGAGATTTTATTCAACACGAGTCAAAGATTCAAGTGCAAGGTGTTTAACTGACAAAAAACTGATCATACAAAATCCAAAAAATTTTATATTCCTGCGGCAATAATGATACTTTAAAAATCAAGCACCCCGCACAGTTTTCACACCAATTAATGTATTCTTTCCTTCCTCAGTTCTCCCAGTGCAAAAATCTCATGCACCCTTGTACCCATATTCAATTACGAACAAACAAGCGGTGAAAGAAACGAATAAAAACAAGAAATAACCACGTACTTACCATTAGAAGTGTAGGACGCCCTTTTGAGAACTTCCACCAGCTTCTGTGTCGTATTGTCTTGATCTTCATCAAACGCGACAGATGGTGCAATAGAACCCCAAACTTCTCGATAAAAATTAGAATTTTTAGTGAAGTAATTTTTAATTGCATATAGTGAAAAATAGCAATGACTCGACATTTCTTCCGGATTTGTATGCTGCTTAGCACTTTTCGCTCGTTTTTTGTCATGATATACGAATGTCATGTTTTTGTATTCCATTATATGCTTGCTCTTCTCCTTATTAAGCTTACTGACCGCAGCCTCAACTACCGGCATCACTCGTGTACCATTTGAACGTTTGCGACTAGGTCGATCAGTCTGATTTGCATATGGATCATCGTATCCGACAAAATAGTAGAAACTTTCTGCCATTTGATCGTAGCTACCCCTCATTCGAGTTAAAAATGTGAATGATTTACGACTGCTGAGAGCCGCTGGGAATCCTGCAGTTGTTATTAGAGGGATACCCTTGCCAAGACCGGCACCAATTTTAGATAGCGTTGCGATGCTGTAACTATCAGCAAGACCCAGCATCAAATCCAAACGATCTTGACGGTAGGCTTCAATCATAGCCACTGCGGTATGGCGTTCAGTTAAAACCTGATCTTCCCAAAGCTTCGAATCCATATAAGTAAAATTTAACTGATTTTCAATAATCAGACTGTGATTAATAGCCCTTTCAAGACCTTTATCGATTGCCGGTCGGGCTGTATCCATAACAAGACCAAAAGTGTCATAAGCTGATTCTTTGAACGGCAGCATAACTAATACATTCAATGGCATAGAAACATTATTAATTTTTAATCTACCATTTTTAATTGAGATCGCTTCTGAGGCATTACCGATCAGCAGCAACAGCAGTAACGTTAGTAATATTGGCTGAATAACGTAAAACAGTTTTAAATTTAACAGCAAAAAGGCAAACTGCTTCATTGCCTCTCATGGGCACTCTTGCATGCCGGTTTTCTGCAAACACACAGTTGCCGTGTGACGCAGAATACACCTGCAGCAAACAACTATAATTACTGCAAAAGTAGTTTTTTCTTCACTTTTCTTTTTTCTATAATAAAACGGTAGGCTTTTTGTAGCTTTTCCTAGCTTCCTTCTTCCCCAGAAGCACCTCTTCTGGAAGAAAATAGCAGCGTTCCAATTCTAAGTAAATGGACGTCGATACAGTACGAACTTAGTAGTCATATCGAACAAACAGGAAATGCTGTGCTTCCAGACAGACTGTTTACAGGTAAAAAGCTTCAGCAAATAATGAACAGGTGTCAAGAATCCGAATATAATTGTACAAACACAGCAGAGTGATTCCAAATAACTGACCTATACGTTAAAAGAGTGGAAAATATTAGAAGTTGCAACGGAGCTTTTGCTGTTAAACGCAAAGTAACACGACACACAACGCAGGAAGCAGAAAAAAAAAAAAAA